CGACGACGACGATAACGACGACGACGACGACGGCTACGGCGGCGGTGGCGGCGATGGTCGAGGGGCGAGGGAGGATGGGGCGAGAGGCAAGGACTGGAGAAGGTGGAGGACCACCGCGAGGAGGGACGGGAGCAGGGGCAGGACCACGCTGAGAAGGAGTAGGAGACGCACGAAGGGAGAAGGATGCGGGGCAGGAGGAGGAGGAGGAGGAGGAGGAGGGGGAGGAGGAGGAGGAGGAGGAGGAGGAGGAGGAGGAGGAGGAAGGAGGAGGCGGAGGAGGAGGAGGATAGGAGGAGGAGGAGGAGGAGGAGGAGGGAGGAGCAGCAGGAGGAGGAGGCGGAGAGGAGGAGGCTAGGAGGAGGAGGGGAGGCGGAGGAGGAGGAGGAGGAGGAGAGGAGGCGGAGGGAGGGAGGCGCGAAACAGGAGCAGGGCAGGAACAGACGGAGGAGGAAGATCGAGGAGGAGGAGAGGAGGAGGAGGAGGAGAGGAGGAGGAGGGGAGGAGGTGGAGCAGGAGGAGGAGGAAGAGGAGGAGGAGGAGGAGGAGGCGGAGGAGGAGGAGGCGTCGCAGGACGACACCGACGACGACCACGGAGCTAGGGCAGGATGAGGAGGAGGGCGGGAGGTATGGATGGATGGATGGAGGGAGGGATGGATGGGTGGATGGAGGAGGAGCAGGAGCAGGAGGAGCAGGAGGAGCAGGAGGAGGAGGAGGAGGAGGAGCAGGAGGAGGAGGAGGAGGAGCATGAAGAGGATTGAGAGGAGGATGAGGAGGACGAGGAAGAGGAGGATGACGATTACGACGACGACGACGACAACGCCGCCGACGACGACGACGACGCCGACGGCCAGGGGCGAGGGGCGAGGGGCAGGGGACAACCGCGAGGAGGGAGGATCATGGTGAGTATTAGTAGGAAACATTTGGAGAAGGAGGTGGAGGAGGAGGACGACGACGACGACGAGGATGGGGCAATGGCAGGAGGAGGAGGAGGATGAGGAGGACAACGACAACGACGATGGGGCAAGGGCGGGAGGAGGAGGAGGAGGAGAATGGGGGGAGGAGGAGCAGGAGAAGGACGAGGAAGAGGAGGGGGGATCTGAAGGAGGAGGAGGAGGAGGAGGAGGAGGAGGCGACAACGACGATGGGGCAAGGGCAGCAGGAGGAGGAGGAGGAGGAGGAGGAGGAGGAGAAGGAGGAGGAGGGAGGAGGAGGAGGAGGAGGATCAGGAGGAGGAGGAGGAGAAGGTGAACGGAGCTTCAGCAGGAGGACGACGAGGAGGAGGAGGAGCACGATAACGACGGCGACAACAACGACGACGACGACGGCGGTGGCGGCAGCGGCGGCGGCGACGACGACGACGACGACGACGAAAACGACGACGACGACGGCGAGGGCGGCGAGGGGCGAGGGGCAAGGGCAGAAGGAGGAGGATGCCGACCGCTAGGCGGGACGGGAGCAGGGGCAGGATCACGACGAGCAGGAGCAGGGGAAATAGGGAGGAGAAGGCGGAGCAGGATGAGGAGGAGGAAGACTACGACGACGACGACGACGACGACGAAGGGCAGGAGGATTAGGAGAGGAGGAGGAGGAGGAGAAGGAGGAGGATGAGGAGGAGGAGGAGGAGGAGGAGGAGGACGAGGAAGAAGAGGAGGAGGAGGAGGATAATGAGGAGGAGGAGGAGGGACGAGAAGGAGGAGGAGGAGGAGGACGCGACGACGCGGTAGGGTGCAGGGAAAAGGGGGGGATCAAGATTTGCTGGGAGAGGAGGAGGGAGGAGGCGGAGGAGGAGGAGGAGGAGGAGGAGGAATGGGGGCTCGTTCTCCCCCAGATCCCTCCCCCCTCCCTGGCCCGGGACTGTGCCGGGCGAGCCTCGCTGGTCCCGGGCGCTTGGGATCGAGCTGCCCGGGAGGACGCGCCCTGGTGGAAGGACGGCAAAGGCCGGGGCAAGGACAGCGGCAAGGACCGCTTCGTTCTGCACGCACGAAATGGGTACTGAAAGAATGGGTACAATGCCCAACAGCGGATCTTGTGCAGTTTGAACAGGGCTCGCTTTCCACGCCGCCGCGGCCTGTGTCCATTCGAGACAGGAGGCCGCCTGCCCAACAGCGGCCGCTGTTGGTTTGGGACAACATTTGCTGTTGGGCATAATACCCATTTTTTTTTCGGTACCCATTTCGGGCGTCCAAATTCGTGCTCTCTCGTCTTCTCGCCTTCCCCCCCCCCTCTCTAAACGAGGTCCTCCTGCGCCCGCCGCCTTCCTGGTCCCCTCTCGGTCCCCTCACCCCCTCCCCCAAGCGAGGTCCTTCTGCTCCCTCCGTCCTCCTCGTCCTCTCTCTCGGCTTCTCTCCTTCCCAGCCCCCTCTCCTGAACTGCGCGGCGAGCGAGGGGGGGAGATGAGAAGGAAAAGGCCTCCTCAGAAGGCGGCGGGACTTCTCAGAAGCCCTCGTGCCTTCTCGGGGAAGGCTTGGAACACTTGTCAAAAGGCCGGGGGACTTCCGAGCCTTCTGAGAAGGCCCGCCCCTTCTCACTTCCCCCTGGGCTAGCCGCCGATAAACAAGGTCCTCCTTCTGCTCCCTCCGTCCTCCTCGCGTCCTCCTTGTCCTACCCTCTCCTTCCCCCGATGCTATCGTCGAAGGACGGTGGCAAGGACAAGGGTAAGGACAAGGATAAGGACAAGGGCAAGGACAAGGGCAAGGGCAAGAGCAAGGCGGAGCCAGTCCCCAGCGCGATGAAGACTGTCCAAGAGTTCGAGGAAGAGCGCCTGATCCTGCTCCTGCTTGTCCTGCCGCATCACCTCCTCCTGCTGCCCTCCTCTCTTGCTCCTCCGCCGCAGTCTCCTCCCCCCTCTCCCTCACCTTCCCCATCCACCGCATCATCCCTCTGGTCGCCTTCCTCCTCCCCCATTCGTCGCCTCCCTCCTTCGCCTGGTCGCCAACAGCGTTTCAAGCAGGACTATTGGAGGTGGTCTTTGGCCGCAGGTCCTCCTGTTGTCGGAGCCACGAGCCAGAGGACGCACCTCTCCTTAGAATATTTTTTGTTTCGCTTCGCGAACTCGCCGTTGCCATCTCCATTTCCCTCGTCCCTCCTCCCTCGTCCTCCGCGAGGACCCCCCCCCTTCGAAGAAGAGAAGCGCCGTCGTCCTCCGCTTGATCCTCCTCCCTCCTCGTCGACCTCCTGTCGCTGCCTCCTCCTCCCCCCCCCTCGTCCATCCTCCCTCGTCCTCCGAAGACCCCCCCCCCTCGTCCATCCTCCCTCGTCCATCCCCCCCCCCCCCTCGTCCATCCTCCCTCGTCCTCCGAAGACCTCCCTCGTCCTCCGATGAAAAGCAGCCGTGGCCAGAGGACGAGCTCGCGCGGAGCGCGGCCGGAGCCGCACCGACCCGCCAACGCCGCGGCGACGGGTCCAAGCAGCCGGTGGACGGCAAGGGCGCGCACTGCGTGGTCCACAAGCACAGCGGCATGGGCTGTGCCGTGGTCTTCCTCGCTCCTCGTCCTCCTCCTCCTCCTCCTCCTCCTCCTCGTCCTCCTCCTCCTCCTCCGTGTCCTCCTCCTCGTCCTCGTCCTCCTTGTCCTCCTCCTCCTCCCCCTCCTCCTCGTCCTCCCCCTCCTCCTCCGTGTCCTCCTCCTCTGTGTGGCCGTAGCCATTTTTGGCTCAAGGTGGCTGGCCCTGCCAGCGACTGGCACGCGGCACGCCTGTAAGGTTTCCCCATTCTCTCCGTGATGTCTGCTGCTCCACACACGATCATTGCTGATCTTCATGGGGAGTTGATCCGACGGCTTTCGTTAGTTGCTGGCACGCACTTCGAAGGTCTCGAGCAGGCGGGTCGTGTTCTTCGCCGAGCTGGTCGCATTACAACCGGCACTGCGCACAAGCTTGCCCGCCTGGGCCACGCCTACAACCTGACCCGTCATGTCACGTGTGTTTCCGCTACCAGCTTCCTGGATTCGGTGATGATGGAGGTGGGCGGAACGCCATGTTCTACGGGCTTGCAGGCTACGGCGTCACAGCCTTCAGATGCTACGTTGAAGACTGCGGCTTCGGCCTCACTGTTTTCTTCGCCTGCATTGACGGCTACTTCGACATTGATGACTGCTCCCACGTCGGCTGCCCCTTCACCGAAGGTTTCGACATCACCGCCTCCAGAGGAGGCCCTGGGAGCTGTCCATCCAGTTCCTCATCGTGCCGATGGTGTGGTCTCTGCTGATAGTGTCGGCGATGCCGCACTTCCCTCCGAAGTTCGACTGGGTGAATCTCCTGTTCGTGCAGATCGGCTCCACGATGACGATGCTCAGGGTGATGGCGTCGGCACCTACGACGTGATGTCGACGTTCACCGCTACCATCTACCAGCCGTGCCTCTGCACGGCCACTATTCCTGACGGCCGCGGTAGTGGATCCGGGTCCCTCGGCACGGCGACCCACGACGCGAACATCTTTGCGACGGGCGACTACGTGATCCCTGCGATCCCGTTCACGTTCGCCCCGAACTCGTTCCGCCTCTCTGAGCCCTGCGACGCGTCCGACCGCGTTCGATACCGCGGCAAACGCGCGGTCTGAGGCAGATCCTTCCTCCACCTCCTGCTGTGTGCTCTGTAGCTGCGGGTGGGGGAGGGATGACGACCACGTATGTGAGTGGATGGGAGGATGTCTCAAGTCTCTCTTTAGGCCGCCTCCTTGATGATTTTCCTGAGCCTCCCCGTCTCCTCCACGCCCTTGCGCTGAGTATGTCGGCTATCCAGGTCTCTCTCGTGTTCGGGTTGTGGAGATTTTATGGTGAGATAAGAAGGCAGGCTTCAGAGGTACCTCTCGAATATGTCTTGTCTCTCTTTGCGTGCTGGCAGCCTGAGGGAGGTCGAGGCTGCGTGCTGAAGCCCTCTGCACAGGAGTTTAAATTGAACTCCCCCAGGCCTTTCCAGCACGGCGTTGACTTACTCGGGCCCTCGTTTTTTTCGTGCCCTTGTTTTCTTCGGTCGTGGCCCTCGCTCGGCGTCGTCTGGGTCCTGGGTATCCGTCCCTCGTTTCTTTCGGCCCCCCTCGGGCCCATCGCTCGTCGCCTCGGCGCCACGGGCAGGAGTGTTCGGCGGTCGATCACCCGCGAGCAAATCAAAACAAAATCCTCCTCCGTGTCCTCCTCCTCGTCCTCCTCCTCCTCCTCCTCGTCCTCCTCCTCCTCATCTTTCTCCTTCTCCGCCTCCTGAGCCCTCCTCGTCGTCGTCGTCCTCCTCCGCCTCCTCATCCTCCTTCTCCTCCTCCTCTCCCTCTTCCTCCGCCTCCTCCTCCTCCGCCTCCTCCTCCTGGTCTCGTCGTTCGTTCCTTCCTTCGCCGGCGTGGTTCCTTTCTCCGGGGGGAGGTTTGCAGGCGACTTTTTCTCCCAACCCCTGACTCCCCGACGAAAAATGAAGCCGCTCAGAAAAGGAGGAACACCCTGGGATACACCCCAAGGGGGCTATTCGGACGCACCCCTATCGATAATGGACGTCACCCCTCGTATATCCCAGGGTTTGGCCGAAAACCCCACGAAGCCTTGGATAGGAGCCGACATATCCCCTGCTCGAGGAGAGGAGACGGATACCGCTGCGGTCATGGTGCGGCCGAAAAATCCGGCTCGATCAATCCGGCTCGAACCAGGGCCATCACATATCTCGCCACGGGGGAACCGGGTCCTGAGGGAAACGAGTCCTGAGGTTTTTCGCCGTTTTCTGGCTCCCGGGGCCCTCCACGGGCCCCGGGACCGTCAGAGAACGATTCGGGATGAAGAAGTGGTCTTGGGGGAAGGCCCCAGGGTCCAGGACCCATTTCCCTCAGGACTTGTTTCCCCCATGCTAGATGCCAGATGCCGATTCGGCTCGACAAGTATAAAGATCGGGTCCAGGGCTCCCGTTGTGATTTTTCGCGATGGTTGGATTCTCTGCGACGTCGAACACTTGCAGCGAAGATGCTGACGCAAAGACCTTCCCAGGGGTTTGGGTTTGGCGCGCCGCGCCGCCAGTTCTGGCCTACCACGCTTCGGCGCGACACGCGGTCCACTTGGCGTCAGTGTCCCGAGTTTTTGTTCCCAGCTTCCCGCCCCGCGGAGCCGAGCGACACGCTATCCGCTTGCAGGGGATGGCGTGTCGCCGGGGCCGCCGCCGCGACACGCTAGGCAGAAGAGGAAGAGGAGGAGGAGGAGGAGGAGGAGGAGGAGGAGGAGGAGGAGGAGGAGGAGGAGGAGGAGGAGGAGGAGGAGGAGGAGTCCTCGGTTTGGGGGCCGTCCGTTCCTTGGACTGAAGTAGGGAACTTTGTGCGTGGCCGAGGCCAGCGGCGGCCCGAAAAACGCCTGCGTTCTTTGTGCAGAGGTCCTCTTGGTTGCCCGATGGCAGTACCGCTGCCGTTGCCCCTGCCGTCGTCTTGATCCCTTGGGCCTCCTGGGGGGCCCTCGTCGCCACGGCTGGATTTGCCTCGGAGTCCTCACCAGGTCGCACCCCAGGAGAGGTCCTGGCAATGGCGGTGGCGGTATTATGTTGTCCTCCCTGCTCGCGCTTCCGGCTTCCCCCTTGACGCCTCAGTGATGCGGATCGGCTCGTCCGGAGACCGAGACAATCAACATGCCCCTCCATGAACCTTGTCCCTCCATGCTCCTCTTCCTCCTCGCCATTCTCCTCCTCCTCCGTGCTGCGCTTCCCTGTCCTTCTTGTTGCTCTCGCTTTGCTCTCCTCCTCGTCCTTCTCTGTGCTCGTGCCTTGCTTCTCCTGCTCCTCCACCTTTTCCTCGACCTCCTCTTCCTCCTCCTCCTCCTCCTCCTCCTCCTCCTCCTCCTCCTCCTCCTCCTCCTCCTCCTCATCAATTCCCCCCTCCTCTCCTCCTCCGATGAACATGCGCTCCTCCTCATTCTCCTCCTCCTCCTTTCCTCCTTCCTCCTCCTCCTACCTCCTACCCCTCCCTTCCTCCCAACCTCCTGAAAACGCTCCTAACGCTCCTTCTCCAGCATCCTCCTCCTGCTCCTCCTCCTCCTCCTGCTCCTCCTCCCCCTCCCCCTCCTCCTGCTCCTCCTCCCCCTCCCCCTTCTCGGCTCCTCTGCCTCCCTCGTCGATCTTCCTCCCTGCTCTCCCTCCCTCCCCCTCGCCACTGCACCGTCGTCCGTGGACCTGCCACCCTGGGAGGCAGGCCACCGCCCTAGGTCTACCTCGCCATCATCTCCCTCCTCGGCCTCCTCTTCCACCTCCTCCCTCCTCTTCTCCTCTTCCTCCCCTCCTCTTCCCTCCTCCTCCCTCCTCGGTCTCCCTCCTCCCTCCTCCTCCCCTCCTCCCTCCTCGTTCTCCCTCCTCCTCCTTCCCCCGCCGTTGTCATCTCCCTCCTCTTCCTCCCCTGCATCTCTCCTTCCTCGTCTTCCCCCGCCCGGCTTCTGCGCCTTTCTCCACCCGTCCTGTTCCTCGTTCGTCCTCCTCGCCCTCCTCGTCGTCTGCCCACCCCCTCGGTCTCGATGGAGTCCGTGCGGGCGAGGGAGGCCGTGATGGCTCATCCGAGAGGTGTCCCGCCACTCCGCCGCTTCCCCCGCAGGGCGCACGCCCCGCTTCCTGACCGCCCCCTGAGAGCAATTCGCCCGCATTCGTCCTCTTCCTCCTCCTCCTCCTCCTCCTCCTCCTCCTCTTCCTCCTCCTCCTCCTCCTCCTCCTCTTCCTCCTTCTTCTCCTCTTCCTCCTCCAATGGAGGCGCGCATCAAGAAAGCCAGATGCTTTTCGTCGGGTACCCTGGATTTCTTCGCTCCGCGCGCTGCGCGGTGACTTCCCGCGGCCGTGGAAGGAGCTGCTGCGCTCGGTGTGCCCTGGGCTTCCCCCCAGTCGCACATCTCGCGCGGGTCGTCAGGGTTAGGAGGAGGAGGAGGAGGAGGAGGAGGAGGAGGAGGAGGAGGAAGAGGAGGAGGAGGAGGAGGAGGGAGCAGGGAGCAGGAGGAGGAGGAGGAGGAGGGAGGAGGGAGGAGGGAGGAGGGAGGAGGAGGGAGAGGAGGAGGAGAGGAGGAGGAGTGAGAGGAGAGGAGGAGGAGGAGGAGGGGTTTCTTGCCATGGTTTCTTGCGGCCGCGTCCGCACTGTAAACGCCGGTCTTTGGAAGTAGGCATTCCTGGCTTCCCAGATCCCAGTCCACGTCAAGCGCCTCCCTGCTTCAACAGTCGGCATGCTTTTTGTTGTCGCTGCCTTCTGTTACTCCCTGGGCGGGCCTGGACCCAATCGGCTTCATCAACCTTCCTACTTTATTCCAGGCCTCCTAAGTAGGGTCGGAGTAGATGGGGTCGGAGGATCGCGCCGCATCGCCGATGCATCGGCGATGCATCGGCGATGCGGCTCGATGTCGAGCCCTATGTTCTCCATGCCGACGTCGCCGATGCATCGCCGATGTATCGGCGATGCGTCGTCGACGTATCGCCGATGCGGCGAGATTCTTCGACCCCATCTGCTCTTAGGTCGGGCCTGTCCCTCTACAGGGGGTTTGGACGAAAAATAAAAATAGCCTCAAGATGTTCAACAGCCTTTCAAAAATAGTGAAACATGGAAACCATATTGTCTTGTGACTATTTTCACACACTCCTCCTGTAGAGGGACATGCCCGACTTTACTCCGACCTCATCTGGGAGGCCCTGAGTGTTTCCGCGTGCTTCTCTCGACTGGCGGGCCAGCTGTCGCAGGTCCGCGCGGATGCATCGGCGCTGGCACCCCCTGGGCGGCGCCTCGCCGCGCCGCGGCGCGCCCCTCTCGTGCCGGAGAGAGGGTGGCCCGGCGCGGGGCGGGAAACTATTCGCGCGGACCTCCGAGAGCGTGTGAGTACACCTTAGGCGATGCTTAAGAAAACCTAAGTTTTTGTCCAGAGTCTCGATTATTCTTAACTTGTCAATGTAAATCCCAAGATTTTGACAGAAGTTCTGGGTTTTCTTTAATTTCTGAGACTATGAATTTCTTAACCCATGATTTCTTAAGCATTTCGCAGGGTGTATCGTGAGAGCGTTGGGTAAGGAACTCTTGGATACGAGATCCAGGGTCGGGAAGCTGGTGGGACTGGGGCTCCAGTCGTGGACCGGCCATGGACCTCACCGCCGCCTGCACCAGACAAGGAGAACCCTCCAGGGTCTGCCGCCTCCCGGGCGCACGCCTTCACGTGAAGCTCCTTCTGCCTCCTCCTTCCAGAGATCCCAGGGGAGGGGAACGGGCCGCCACCCTCGACAGCGGGGTGGCAGCGGATTGCGAGGGCAAGTCCGGGAGTAAGGACGAGGTCAAGGTGAGCGGCGGCAGCGCTGCCGCCGCCGCCGCCGACGACGACGACGACGATGGTGACGATGGACGACGGACGACGGCGACGCGACGACGATGACGACGATGGACGACGGTCGGCGACGACGACGATGACGACGACGGACGACCACGACGACGACTACGACGATTACGACGACGACACCGACAACGACGACGACGACGACGACGGACGACGACGGCAACGACGGCAAGGACGGACGACGGCGACGACGACGACGGACGACGACGACGGACGACTTGGACGACGACGACGACGACAACGACGACATCGACGACGACGACGTCGACGACGGACGGACGACAACAAAGATATGATGACGACAATGATGATGACGATGACTTCAACGGACGACAACAAAGACGACGACGGAGACGACCTGGACGACCGACGACGACGACGACGACGACGGACGGCGACGACGACGACCGACGACGACGACGTTTGACGACGACGACGACGACGATAGACGACTACGACGGACGGACGATGAAGACTATGATTAGGACGACGATGATGGTGACGATAGCGACGATGAATCACGACGACGACGGATATGACGATGACGACGACGCACGACGACGACGACGACGACGGACGACGACGGACGACGACGACGACGACGACGACGACGACGACGACGACGACGGCTGAACGACGACGACCACGGACGACGACGACGACGAGGACGACGACGCCGACGACGGACGGCGACGACGACGACGACAACTAAGGGCGACGACGACGACGATAGACGACTACGACGGACGGACGATAAAGATTATGATTAGGACGACGATGATGGTGACGATAGCGACGATGAATCACGACGACGACGACGACGACGACGGATATGACGATGACGACGCACGACGACGACGACGACGACGACGGACGACGACGGACGACGACGACGACGACGACGACGACGACGACGGCTGAACGACGACGACCATGGACGACGACGACGACGAGGACGACGACGCCGACGACGGACGGCGACGACGACGACGACGACAACTAAGGGCGACGACGGCGACGACGACGACGACGACGGCGACGCCGACGACGACGACCACGACGATGGGCGACGACGACGACGACGACGACGGACGACGGACGACGACGAAGACCGCGACGACGGACGACGACGACAATGACGACGACGAAGACGACAGACAACGACGATGACGACGACTGAAGGACGACGACTACCGACGACGACGAGAACGGACGACAACGTCGACGACGACGACGACAAGCAGGGACGACGACAACGACGACAACAATGACGACGTCGACGACGGCCTCGACGACGGACGACGACGACGACAGCCGGACGACAACGACTGACGCTGACGATTGCGGGCGACGATGTCGACGCCGACGACGACGGAGGACGACGACGACGACGACGACGGACGGCGACGACGACCATGGAACACGGACGGACGACGACGGCGAGGACAGACGACGATGACGACATCGATTGACGACGGCGAAGGCGACGACGACGAAGACGGACGGCGACGACGACGACGGCGACCACCGGCGACGACGACGGAGACGACGACGGCGACGACGGACGACGACGGCGACGACGTCGACGAGGAGGACGCACGACGACGACGGCAACGACAATGACGACGACGTGGACGACGGCGACGACGGATGACGACGACGACGACGACGACGACGGACAGCGACCACAACGATAACGGAAAACGACGACGATGACGACATCGATTGACGACGACTACGACGGGCGACGAGGACGACGACGATGACGGCGACGGAAGACGACGACGACGACGGACGACATCGACGACGACGATAGTTGACGTTGAAGACGCACGACGACGGCGGACGACGACGACGACGGATACGACGATGACGACGCACTACGACGACGACGACGGACTGCGACAATGACGACGGACCACGACATGACGACGGCGACGACGACGATGGCCGACGACGGGCGACGACGACGACGACGACGGCGGACGACGACGACGACGACGACGACGGACGACGACGACGATGACGACGGCGACGACTGCTGACGACGACGACGACTGTGACCACGACGACGACAGACACGACGGACTACGACGATCACGACGACGACAGCAGAACGATGACGACGATGACGACGACGACGACGACGACGACGACGACGACGACGACGACGACGACGACGGACGTCGACGATGTCAACGACGACGATGACGACGACGACGACGACGGACGACGACGGCGACGACGACGTCGACGACAGCGACGACGACGCCCACGGCGACGGACGTCTGTGACGCTCAAAGGCGGACGACCACGACCACGATCGACGACGATGACCAAATCGACTGACGACGACGATCACCACGAACGTCGACGACCACGATGACGACGAAGACGACGACGACGCACGACGAAGTCGCGAGACGACGACGCACGACGACGACGACAATGACGACGACGACGACGGCGACAGCTGGACGACGTCGACGGACGACTTTGCCGGCAACGGACGACGACGTCGATGATGACGGTGACGACGATGACGACGACGGTGACGACGACGACGACGACGACGATGACGGACGTCGACGACGGACGTCGTCCATGACGACGATGACGACGGCGATGTCGACGGACGACGCTGACGACATCGAGTGACGACGACGACGACGACGGCCGACAACGGCGACGACGGAACACATCGACGACGACGACGACGACGACGACGACCCAGACCCCGACAACGACGACGACGACGACGACGACGACGGACGACGACGACGACGACTCGGACTGCGACGACGACGACGACGCCGACGACGACGACGGACGACGACGACGAGGCCGACGACGACGAAAGCCGGACGTCGTCGACGGCGGGCACGGCGACGACGGACGACGACGTCGACGACGGACGACGACGACGACGACGACGGACGGACGACGACGGAGGGACGACGACGACGGACGGACGACGACGACGACGGACGACGACGACGACGATGACGATGACGACTACGACGACGACGCCGATGGACGGCGACGACGACGACGACAAGGACGACGACGATGACGACGACGCCGACTTCGACGACGTTGACAGACGTCGACGACGACGACGACGACGACGGATGACGACGACGACGACGACGACGACCGACGACGGCGACTTCGACGACGACGACGGACGACGACGACGCCGACGAGGCCCTCGCACGATGAACGACGACGACGACGACGACGACGCACGACGAAGACGCACCACTGCGACGACGACGACGACGATGTCGACGACGACGACTGCGACGACGACGACGACGACAATGACGACGACGACGACGACGACGACGACGACGACGACGACGGCAGGCGACGACGATGCCGACGATGGACGACGATGGACGGCCACGACGACGACGACGACGACGGAAGGTCGACGACGACGATGACCACGGACGACGATGACGACATCGACTGACGACGACGACGACGGACGTCATCGACGACGACGACGACGCGACGCTGCCTGCTGCCTTCTCCCCGCCCCCCGCTGCCTTTGCCGTCGCGCGGACCCCCAGATTCTTCCTCGGCTTGAATTGATACTATAGAAGGGTAATTGGTCGGATTGGATCCCCTCCAAACACCGTAGCTCTTCAGCCGTCCAGAAGGTCGGATCCAGTAAAATCAGGTAGGATCCCCATGGGATCCCCAGCGGATCCCCACCCGGATCCCCAGGCCCGGATGCCCGTGCCATGGTTCAGAACCCTGGCCCTTCACCGTTTGCAATGTCCTGGTGGGGCCCTCCTCTTGCTCTCCTGGGGCCGAGGCTGCGCGCCTTGCTCGAAAGCTGCCGACGACGCTCTTCCTCCTGGCCTCATCGGCCGATCTTGAAAATCGTACCGAGTTGCCTAACCGTCTGTTTGGGCCCTCGCCAGGCCTCGGGACCGTCAAAAACGACTCATGATGAAAACTCTGGAAAAACGAATCGACGAAAGCACCAAAACCTTTCAAACATCTCGCGAATCGATGATCTCGACCTCTCGGAGGCCTCTTGAGGCGTCTTGAGGGCCTCTTGGGCCTCCCGGGGAATGGGTCGAGACTCCCGGGGACCGCGCGTTGAAAAAGTCACGACGTTGACTCTCGGGGCGGCCAGGCTCTCTGAGGTTTGTGGGCGTTGTCGTACGGGGCGCTTCAAAGAGGGCTTCGCCTTCGAGGATCGGAAGAGCTTAGGGGGCCACATGCGACCCCTACCCCTACCCCCCACGATTTCTGAGGGGGAGGGTGGGGGGTAGGGCTAGGGCTCGCGTGTTTCCCCCGAGAGTTGCCACCTCTTCCTCGGCGGAGGGCGGCGGAAGGTCGGCGGAAGTAGAGCGAGGCCGCCTCCGCCGGCGGAAGCCGGCGGAAGGCCGGCGGAAGGCCGGCGGAAGGCGACGGAGGTAAAAGAGGCGCCCCCAAGAGGTGAAGACATCTTTGGGTGCAGGGTTTCCGGAATCCGTCATATGTTCTCGGCGGCTTGCCAGCCTGGGGATACTCTCTCCAGCAGCTGCGCCTCGCCGAAGGGCGCCCTGGGGTCCCCAGGCCTGCGTGAACGGCTGCCAGACGCCCGAGTCGTGGCCCGAAAGCCACCGAGATCCGGGCGTTGGAATTTTTTCATACCCGATGTTTCCGCCCAGTATCGGGCCCCGGGCCATCACATATCGATCCGGTTCGAAACATGGTGCACAAAGATGGGGTTTGGGGCTCCGGTCGTGATTTTTCGCGGTGTTTGACGTTGTCTCGCAGCGTCGGATCTCTTTTGGAGCATCACCAGCAGCTCCATACAGCATGTGCAGCCACGACGCCGAAGCGAGGCCCACTACAGTCAACCCGCATCGTGAGGATGGGCAACCTTCCCATGGCTACCCTTTGCGTCCCTGCCCCTTCGGCCCATCCTTAGCGACTTTCGTTGGCCAGCCTCGTCTGAAAGAACCTTCACATGGGCCTCCAAGACCCGAAGGATTGCAAAAAAACCCTCCTTGAACGAAGGATTGCAAAGAAACCCTTGAACGAAGGATTGCAAAAAAAACCCTTGGGTTTTTGTTGCAATCCTTCGGGTTTTTTTGCAATCCCTCCTTACCGCGCATCCCTGCGATACGGGTTGACTGTATGGGCTGAGGGTGTGGGACCCTGGCCTCTGGGGCCTTTCCTCAGACTCGGGTCGGGGAAGCTGTGCGCAGCCGAGGCTCGCCTCGGTTAGAGACGCCCCTTCGCTTGCTCCTTCCGGCGGCGAGCGAGGGGAGGAGGAGGGGGAGGAGGGGAAGGAGGAGGAGGAGGAGGAGGAGGAGGAGGAGGAGGAGACTGGGCGGGCCTCCCCCCAGAAGGCTCGGAAGTCCCCCGGGCCCTCCGGAGAAGTGTCCGGGGCCTTCCCCGAAGACAGGGGGGAACTTATCCCACGAGGCGCCGGGGCTTCGGAGCAGCCCCGCCGCCTGCTGCGGAGGCCTTCTCCTCCCCGCTGCCCCCCTCGCTCGCCGCGCCGTTTCGGAGAGGGGGCCGGGAAGGAGAGAAGACGAGAGGGGAGGCTGGGAAGGAGAAGGCCTTCTCCTCCCCACGCTCCCCCCCTCGCTCGCCGCGCCGTTTAGGAGAGGGGGCCAGGGAGGAGAGAAGACGAGAGAGGAGGCTGGGAAGGAGAAGGCCTTCTCCTCCCCACTCCCCCCCTCGCTCGCCGCGCAGTTTAGGAGAGGAGGCTGGGCAGGAGGAGGCCTTCTCCTCCCCCCTCCCCCCCCCTCCGCTCGCCGCAGCGCCTCGTCGGCGCCGGCGGGGGTTTCGGCGGCTCTCTCCTTTTTCCCGGCAGGAGGCCGGCGGGGGCGAGATATCGGGGCGGGCCCGCGGGCGGGCGGCCGAGGGAAGCCGGCGCGCGAGGACGGACGTCGCCCCCAAGAGGTGTCGCGGGTGGGCCAGGGCTTATATTCGGCGAGCGAAGAGCGGTATAAGATGAACTTTTTCGCCGTCGGGGGCACCTGCCCCTGGGCGGCTGGAAAGTTGATACCCCTACGGTGCCACCGTGAGGGTATAAGCTTTCCAGCCGCCCAGGGGCAGGTGTCCCCGACGGCGAAAAAGTTTATGATATACCGTTCTTCGCCCGTTAACTTATGATGTTCCAACCTACTTTAGCCTGGGTCGCCAGGAAGACTTTCGAACACCAAGAGAGTACCGAAACTGTGGAGGGTCTTCACGTGTCGGGCCCTGGGAGCCGGCCCTCGTTCGACACCGTTTCGATACTTTTTTCTGGGTGCTCGAAGTTATTCTTGGGATGTGGTCCCTGAGTGCGATCGGAGCAACATAAGCCAGGGCACGAGATCGAGGTCGGTTCGGGGAGAGTCATTGGCTAGACGCACAGTGACATAAACATGAAAACTCGGAGTTCCGCGCAGATTTCTCGGATCGGCGCTGGACTCTCCTGGCGGCGCCTCCGGCGCCGCCGTTGGCGCGCTCCGCGCGCCAGGGAGGGGGGTCCCGCGCGGATCCGAGAAATCCGCGCGGATCTACCAGTTTTTATGTTTCTGTCATTTTCGTTCCCCTAGTCACTACTGTTCTTCGTGTCTGCTGAATGCTCTGGTGCGTCTTGGGGGAGGGTACCCTCGAGCGTTCTTCAGTTTGGCCGGCGGGGGGTCTCATGTTCTCGAGGGGTGGTCTTGTGTCTCAAGCCCGGCCGCAGTTGCTCTGGGCTCAGGGTGTCTGGAGCTCGCCGCACGGTGCGGCCAGCCAGGACGAGAGCTGGGTACGCTTCGGTGGAGCACCTCTACAGTATCGCATGTAGCCGCATACGATCGCGTCTGTGTGCACCCAGCGCGCGGCCTCCGGGTGCTCCAAATGTGGGTCTGGCCATGCGCAGTCACGGGCAACAATACGGGGTCGCAGGGGGCAGGACTTGTCCGACCTGGTCGGCGCCAGCGGCGCGCGGCAACGTTGGTAGAATCTGTGACGCGGTGGCGCGATCGTTCCCTCCCTCGACTCTTGCCCCCCCCTCTTCTCCCACGAGATGCGCTGGAAAATGCTGTGGCCCAGGCATGTGTTTCCAGCTTCCAGTGCCCAGGTCGGAAGTCTTCCGCCTCTGAGTGCCCCCCTATCATCCCTGCTCCTCCGCGGCCGCCCCGTCTGTCTCGGTCTCCTCTCCTGCACGCTGGGCAATTCGCTCCTCGGTAGCCCTGTCTAGCCCGGCCGACCGCTGGTGCAGCAGCTCCGCCTCGCCGCCGACGGAACGTGTTCCCAGCTTCCTGCCGGTCTCCGCGTCGTTCCACCGCTGCGTCGTTCTCATCTGCCCCCCCACCAGCGCGTTGCCTGATGCGCGTCGCCCCATCTCTCTCTCCGGCACCCGAGCGGGGCAGAGGCCGCCTCGGTGGGGGGCAGGGCCGCGCTGTTGTTCGATTCGCATGCCCAGAGCACCCACGGGGCCCGCTCGGGACCGTTGCACAGTCGCCTCCCCCCCCCGGCCACGCCCGGCCTGCGCCTCGAGCAGAGCTGCACCCGGCCGGGGCGGCGAGCAGCTCGAAGGCCGCCGCTCGGCGGCGCCTCTTCCTCCGCCGAGGAGGGGGAGGAGGAGGAGGAGGAGGTGGAGGAGGAGGAGGAGGAGGAGGAGGAGGGGGAGGAGGAGAAGGAGGAGGAGCAGGAGGAGCAGGAGGAGCAGGAGGAGGAGGAGGAGCAGGAGGAGGAGGAGGAGGAGGATGAGGAGGAGGAGGTGGATAATCGGTGGGGGAAGCGGAGGGGGGCCCAGGTGGAGATCGGAAGCGTCTCGGTGCAGCTCCGCCGGCACATGGACAAGGCCACGAAGCAGGACGTCGGCTACGCGCAGAGGGGGGGCAGGGGGGAGAGGGGAGGGCTTCTGAGACACACCCCTGCGTCTCAGAAGGCGCGGGCCTTGTCTACAGGTGCAGTGCCCGCGCCTTCGAAGAAGCAGCCTCCTCCTAAGAAGCCTTCCCCCCTCCCCCGTGCCCCCCATTGCGCGACACCAAAAGACGTCGGTTGCATGCAAGAGTGACCCTTCGCCAGAGCGACCTCTTTGGCGAACAACTTCCGGGTGGTGCGGGAGGAGGAGGAGGAGGAGGAGGAGGAGGAGGAGGAGGAGGAGGAGGAGGAGGAGGAGCAGGAGGAGGAGGAGGAGGAGGAGGAGGAGGAGGAGGAGGGAGGATCAGAGGCTTGTTTCCCACTTTTACCTCAAACGAGTTGTGAGCACGAACCACGATGTCCGTCTCGGCCCCCGTCGGACGAGCGGAGATGCGAGCGCAGTGGCACGCCCGGTCGCGCGCGACCCGCCGCTGGTCATAACGTGAATGCGCGGGCGTCGCGGCGACGACGGTGACGGCGACGACGACGGCGCCGCCTGCGCCGACGGTGACGACGACGGCGGCGACGGCGACGGCGGCGACGACGAGCATCGCGGCCACGGCGGCGACGGGGCCCCGGCCCACGGGCGAATTTGCGCCCCGCCCTCGCTCCTGGAGCCCAGGCCAGACTTCATGGGCGGAGCGAAACAATCTGCGAGCAATTTCACCCCAGCCGTTCCTCCGCTGTGCTCAAGCTCACTTTTCTCTTTAGTGAGACGTCGTTTGTTGTCGGAATGTGTCGAGCGGCGCGCCTTCACTAACGCTTTTGTCTCGCTTCAGTAAAGCCGCTTCTTCGCTTTAGTAAAGCCGTTGTTCCGCTTTAGTAAAGCGGCTTCCTCGCTTTAGTAAAATCCGCGGTCTGCCTCAATAAAGCCCTGGGGATGCGGTGGCGATGCGGCGCCAGGGACTGGTCGGGGGGCGGGGGGGCCCTGTCTTTCCTGCCGGTTCACCCGCGGTGCTTTTGCTCGAGTAATCAGGGTCGCGTTGCATCGGGTCGCGGCGACCCTGGGACATGTTCTCAGCGAGTCGTATGTGTTCCTTGACAGAAGAGTGAGGGCGCGAGCGCAGGACGCGGTTCGGCAATTCGGACACGCCGCCGCGGTTGTCGCGCAAAAGAGCAGCACCTTACTAAAAGGCTTGCAGGCTTGGTTCCTTTAGCAAATCGCTCCTTCAACGTAATAGTGTAAATTCACCGATTCCAAGAGGAGGAGTAGGAGGAGGAGGAGACCGCTTTTTCTTCTTCTGGGCCTGTCGGTTTCGCCCTGTCCCGCGCTCGCTTTCGGCTCGATCGATTGTCGGCTGTAGCGTCGCTGTGGCCGGCCTTCCTCTTCTTGCATTCCGCCGAGGACGTCGTCACCGACATCTTCTGCGCCTGGGGCCACCGAGCCGAAAAGGAGTCCCCGCTCGAGGTCGAGGAGATCGCGGAGGCCTTCGACCGGCTTGTGGCGGAGGCGGAGGCCCGGGCCTCTTTTCATCGTCGCCGTCGCCTTCGTCCTCGATCGGTCGATCGAGGTAGTGGTTCGAAGTTGGAGTAACCCAGACCCCCTCGCGTTATGAAAAACCACGATGGGATGTTTTTTCGTCATTTTCGTCCTCCAGCGGTCCTTACCTGGCCTCGGGGCCGTCAAAAAAAGACTCAGAATGAAAAGCCGGTCCCGGGGAAGGGGCCGAGGCTTTTGGGGGTCGACGTTGGGGAAAAAACGCGATGTGGGGGGTTTGGGAAGTTTGTTCGGCCAGTTCCACCTCGGGATGCCTGTTTTGGCCCCAGGCGGGATCGTCAAAGATCGATCCAGGATGAGAGGGTACACATGAGCAGGATTAGCCCCGAAAGAGGTAAGGGGAACGATTCTGAACGGGTTTCGGCTGCCGTCGCGGCAGGAACTAATCTACCCTCGCAGAATTCTCCCTCACACAGCTGGGCAGCTATCGTGTTTACTCTACGATATTCGGGCGCATGAGCTCTGGAGCACTGGGCATGGCTGGTTATAGCCCAGAAAGAAATAAGGAACCTTCTGGGTTGGGAAGGGTGCTGCAGTTCCTCATGTCCTTCCAATGTTTGTCCTGTAGCGCTCTTGCACCCAAGTGCTTTTGCAGCCGAAGAGGGGCTTCGGTCCTCATCGAGCGCTCCTTATGTGAGCAGCTTGACTGCGTGGGACCTGTGGCAGGTGCTCTCCTCTGCGCGTGTACGCCTCTCACGCGTCCGCCGACGACTCGCGCTTACCGCCCGCCCCTCACCTTCTCGCGGCAGCCAGGAACAAACACGTCGTCGGAGCAAACACAGGGGCGGCCGCGAATGCAGCCAAGAGCGGCTTCGAAACTGCTCAAAAGACACCCGTCGCCGCCCAGGCAACAGGAAGTCACAGGCGAGGCTCCCTTCTCTGGTGCCTACCCTGCAGTCCGATCGAGTTTGCCGGCAGTTCGCAGATATGGAGCGCAGGATTCCTGCAGCCTGCAGTCGTTTATCCGAGCAGTTTTTCTGGGTTGAGGGCAAAGGGTGAAATCTGAAATGCCGTTTCGATAGATTCTCGAGGCTTGAATCTGCTAAAGGTGCACCGCAAGACGGACTCGCTTCCGAGGCGCAGAAGCCCATGTGGATTTCACCCTGCGCCCTCCACCCTAAGAAAATGTTCAGTTTATGGCAACCAGAGGTCGTGGGCTGCGGACGGGGCAAGCTTGGCAAGCCAGGGCCCGCTCTGGAGTGTCCAGGCGTCAGAGACGAATCCCGTCCTCGGCCATCCTCGAGCTTGAATCGAGCTCGCTCGAACGTGCTCGTCGGTTTTCTGGCCGCTGCACGTTTGCAGGGTTACAGTCTTTCCAACCCACTCACCACTCATCCCTGCGCGTCAGTGATTGACGCTTCTTTCACTGCGCTTTCGACGATGCTCGATCGCAATTTGCACTTCCATCTGGTGCTCGCGCTTGAGGGCCCTCTGCGCCGCTGACTTGAAAGTGTGTGAATGGTGGTGGGGGTATTGAAAATCCATGGTCCATGGGAGTACGTCTCTGTGGCGTGAGGGGGAGGCAATGGTGCAGGGCAGTGCTGCGTAGCATCTCTTCTTCGCAGGGTGGGATATGAGTGGCATCAAGTCGGTCGTCGACGCTTCGTAGCCCAACAGCGCCCAACTCAGAAGGCGGAAGAGACGACCCGCGATTGCCACACGATTGGCCATCCCCCGCAGCGAGACCCTTGCCACAATGTTCAAGATGCCGAGGTTGGCATGCCGGGGGAACGCGCTAGTTTCGGCCAGACCTGGGGCTCCAGAGGGGCCAAGCATTGTGCAGAAGGCACGTTTACACCACCACCATGTTTGGCCAGGGCCATGCTGAGCCCCAGGATGGTGCGTGGGCCCCGTTGACCTCGGCCAAGAGGGAATGTGCGCCACATGGCCCTTGGAGGGCTGTACACCATGCCAGGGCCCTGGATGGTCCCGACACGGCGTGGTGGTGTGTTGATGCCTTCTGCGCGGGGAGCCCCCGCTTCGGGGTGCTTTCCAGCAGCTGTGCCTCGTCGGGAGCTTTGCCGGGGGCGCCCGAATCGTCCCGATTGGACGACACAGGCCCGAGTTATGGCCGAAAGCCGGACATCCAAGCGTGGATCCCGAGCGATCTGTTTGTGTCTGTGCTCAGAGAGTATATTACGTTGGGCAACACATGTGGTACATTCAATGTGCTGCAATGTATGTGGTATAGTCGATGTTGTGCATTTTCCGTGGTGCAGTCTATGTGGTGCAAGCTGCGGAATGCAGGCCGACCCGAGCAAGACCGGCTCGAGCCCCGCGGCGGCAGCCAAAGTACGCGGCTGTTTATGTTCAGGAGTTTTCGTGCTCATCCGTGTGGTGTGGACTACGTGGTGTAAGTTATGTTACGCAATCTATGTGGTGCAGTCTATGTGTTGGAAGTTATGTGGTATAGCCTTTGGTGTGCAATTCATGTGGTGCGATCTATGTAGTGCAAGCTGCGTGACGCAGGCCAGCCCGAGCAAGACCTGCTCGAGCTCTACGGCAGCAGTCAAAGTACGCGTGTGTGTGTGCGTGTGTGTAGGAGCTCACGTACTCTCCTTTGTGGTGTGAGCTATGTGGCGTAACGTATGTGGTGCAGTCGATGTGACAGGAGCTAGTCTGTGATGCGAGCTATGTGGTATAAGCTCCGTGGTGCCACCTGTGCGGTAAGAGCTAGCGTGCACATGTATGTGGTGTGAGCTAAGCGGTGCAATATATGTGCTGCACTATATGTGGTAGGAGCTGACGGACTCATCTGTATAGTGTGAGCTATGCGGTGCAAGCTGCGTGATGCAATGGATGTGGTAAGGGCTAGCTTACTCACATGTGTCGCGCGAGCTGAGTGGTGTAATCTATGTGGTACGATAAATGTGGTAAGAGCTACCGTGCTCATCCCTGAGCTGTGAGCTATGTGGTGTAAGCTATGCGGCGCAGACGATTGCAACCGATTGAATTGCAATCGATTGGATTGCTGTCGATCGGATTGCAGTCGATTGGATTGCAGCCGTGTAAGTTTGGTGGTATGATCTATGTGGTGGCATCTGTGCTGTACAATCGATTGCAATCGATTGCATTGCGAGCGCTTGCACTGCGACCGAGTGCATTGCAGTGGGCAGCAAGGCCCACGCCACGAGCGGCGAGGACGCGGCGACGAGGCGGCGACGGCGACGACATAGCCGCCAGACCAGGTTTCAGACCCAGACGACGGACGGCGACGGGGCGGCGACGGGGCGTCGACGGCGACGGCACAGCCGCCAGACCAAGTTTCAGGCCCAGGCGACGGGGCGGCGACGGGGCGGCCACGGCGATGACATGGCCGCCAGGCCAAGTCTCAGGCCCAGCACCTTAGAGGAAGAGCAAGGAGTCCCGATTGCAGTCGCTGCCTGGAGCAGAAGTCAAGACGCAGGTGTTTCAATGCTTTCGGCTTCTGGGGTAGCGGGGGGGGGCTCATCGGGGCCTGGATGAAAACAGCCGGCCCTGGGGAAAGGGTGGGGACTTGTGGATCACCCGTGGTGGAACAACCATGGAGACATCGGACGTCTGTGCATGAAACGCCCGAACCCCTCGACATTGCCCATGGAGGTATCCCAGAAATAGCCTCCGATAGTTCACGAAGTATCCCAAACGCCCTTCGAACTATTCCACGAATTACCCCCGAAATAACCCTCGAACCCCTCGATCGTGTCCGAAAAAGCTCACGACATGATCCCAGAGCCTCTGAGGCCCCGAAGGCAGATGAGCTTCCCCGAGCTCCTTCGAGGGTGCCCGAGAGCTCCGAGATCACCCCGAGCCCGTCCGAACCTTCCCGCCGATGATCCTCAGGGCGTGTGTCGGCCCAGTGTGGCCCAGCGTGTGAGTGTGTGTGTGTGTGTGTAAGTGTGTGTGTGTGTGTGTGTAAGTGTGCGCGTGTGTGTGTGTGTGTGTGTGTGTGTGTGTGTGTGTGTGTGTGTGTGTGTGGGAAGATGGGGGGGAAATTGTGTAAGTGCGCGTGTGTGCGTGTTTATCCCGTGCAGAGCCGCCGATATCACGCAGCCTGTGTCGGCCCTCATTTCCACCAAGGAGCTGGATACACATGACGCAGTCTGCCTGCGGGAGAGCCAGACACGCCGTCTTCTGGTCGGCGGCTCCTCGGGTCCGAGTCTTGGGTGGACTACGCTGGGGCACAGGCGTAGGTAATGGGGGAGACCAGAGGGCAGTAGTAGAGGCGTCGCGCGGCAGGAGGGCCCTCAGAGCATGGAGTTCTTCGGGATATGTGCCGAAGCGGTTTGCCGAACTGTATGTGCAGCCGAGAAGGACACACCCAGGTACGAACGAGTCGCCGCAACGTGCAGCGAGGGCGAAAGGACAAATCCACCAGGAGCCAGAGCGCAAGCCACGGACACAACACAACACTGGCAAGCTTCGATTCAAAGTGAGGGCGTTCTTCTTCTCTGAAACAACACTGGCAAGCTTCAATTCAAAGTGAGGGTGTTCTTCTCCGATGCACACTGTGCCAGATGCCTTTCCAGCGCTCGGCCTTTCCGTGGCCAGGCATGCCGGGCTTCCGCGCGTGCATGCAGCGCGTGGCCGCTGCATGTTCCATCTGTGAATCCAGCCGTGTGTGTGTGTGTGTGTGTACGTGCGTGTGTGCTTCCAGCTTGCCGCGAACGGGTTGCCCGCAGCGCCAGCGGTCGCTGGGGTGCTCGATGGCCGGCGGGGCGCGCGCGCGCCACTGCATTGGCACACCGACTGCAGGTGGCAAAGACGAGGGCGGCCGCAGAGGAGGAAGCCTCGCTGCCAACAGTCGCGGAGGAGGAATAGGAGGAGGAGGAGGAGGAGGAGGAGGAGGAGGAGGAAGAAGAGGGGGAAGAGGAGGGGGAGGAGGGGGAGGAGGGGGGAGGAGGAGAAGGAGAAGGAAACCTCAGCCACACAGCGTATGCGCCATGAGGGCCCGCGCAGGCGGCCTCGCGCATCGGACACTGGCGTCCTTGGCGCAAGCGCGCGTCCCGAGGAGCATCGGCTACACGTAAGAGTGACCCTTCGCCGGAGTGGCCTGTGGTGCGGGCCCACGGGCCCTCGCCGATCGCCGAACGCGATGCGGTAGCAGCGGCCTGCGCGCTTGGGTTTGGCCCCCTCGCGGCCCCCATCACTCTTCGTCCAAGCGCACAGGGGGGCAAGGGGGAGGGGGGAAGGCTTCTGAGAAGCACCACTGCTTCCTGGAGGGCGCGGGCCTTGTCTAGAGGTGTGAGGCCGGCGCCTTCTAAGAAGCAGCCTCTGTCTAAGAAGCCTTCCCCGGAGGAGGAGGAGGAGGAGGAGGAGGAGGAGGAGGAGGAGGAGGAGGAGGAGGAGATGGAAGGAGGAGGAGGAGGAGGAGGAGGAGGAGGAGGCGCAGGAGGAAGGAGGAAGGAGGAGGAGGAGGAGGACGAGGAGGAAGAGATGGAGGAGGAGAATGGGCACGGCGTCGCCATGCGGACCCTGCCACTTGGGCCTTCTTCGGTTGGTGGAGCTCCCCGCGCGGGGCCACGACGCGCGCGTGAGGCCCCTCCGCCGACCCCCTCCGTGCGCGCCGCCAAACTCCTGCGTGTGGCCGAGGGCATCGGCTGTCCGAGCTTCCGCGGCCCGCCGGGGAGCGCAGGGAGGCGCAGGGCGGCAGGCGGCGTCCCCTTCCCCTCCCCGCAGGCCACCGCCACGGCGGCCGCGGCGCGGGCGGCGGCGCCGCCGCCGCCCATGCACCACCCGATGATGGCACACGCGGCGGCGGCACGTGCCGGACTTAGGAGGAGGAGGAGGAGGAGGAGGAGGAGGAGGAGGAGGAGGAGGAGAAGGAGGAGGCGGAGGAGGAGAGGAGGAGAAGGAGGAGGCGGAGGAGGAGCAGGAGAAAGAGGAGGCGGGGGGAGTTCCCCTCTTCTTGGGCCTCAGGATAGAGGACGGTGCGTAGCAAGGTGGCCTCCTTCCTCCCCCTTCCCCCCCTCCGGAAAAGGGTCGGCCCCCGCGCGGCCGCCGGCGCGCGCGCGCTGGCGCGCGGCAGCGGTGTGTGTGTGTGGAGTGGGGATGGCGGAAGACGCTGCGAGAGAGGAGGGTGGGGGGATCGGGGGCTTCGAGGAGGGGATGGGAGGGCTGAGGGGTATCGATCCCCCCGGGGGCATCGTGGCCGGGGCCGCGGGATATTCCCGATGTCGCGCTCCTCCGCCTCCTGCTCGTCCATCGGGTCCCCTCCTCCCCCCCCCCCTCGCCCGCGCACGCTCCCTCGGGCCTGGGCGCGCTGACTCTCCCCCATCCCCCCCTCGCGGCAAGAAGAGGTCAAGCGCGGTCACCAGATCTCCAGATATCCCGCCGCTCCAATCTCTTCGATGCGTGGGTCCAGGAGGTCTCGATCACTTCCCTGGGGCCGGCTCTTCGTCCCGCTCGAGGCGTTTCGCTCACGACCCCGTGGCCTGGCGAGGGCTCCCGGAGGCCGAGCACGGCCCAGAAGCCCGCCGCTCCAATTTTTGGGAGCGTCGGATCTCTGGGCCTCTCTGCTCGAGGAGTCGGTAGCGGATCATGGGAGCCTTGTGTCCCCTCCTCCTCCTCCTCATCCTCCTCCTCCCCCTCCTCATTCTCCTCCTCAGGGGTCCTTCTCCTCCTCCTCCTCCTCCTCCTCCTCCTCCTCCTCCTCCTCCTCCTCCTCCTCCTCCTCCTCCTCCTCCCCCTCTCAAGCAGTGGCGAAGCGTCCTGGCTCGCCTATAGCCCGACCATGCAATGTTATAAGATCCTTTTGTGGTCTCCACGAGATGTTCTCAGAACAGTTTTGGCGGAGTCTGTCTTGTTTTAGCACATCGGGCTTATGTTCTAGGAACCTTGCTTTCGTTTTTAGAACATCTGTGGGTTCTGAGAACATGTCGTGGCAGGACTATAGGAATGCCAGGACGGTCGGTCCCTGCTCGATGGTGTACCCTCTCAGTTCCGTCGACTGGCGTTCGATTGGCGTCTGGGAGTCGGTGAGATAGCGCAGGGTTGGCGTCGACGTAGCGTCGATTAGCGTCGACGTAGCGTCGATTCAGCGTTGATTTGGCGTCGGCGAGTGTCGCTTCGCAAGAGCCGACATCATGGTATGGGAGGCTCCCATGAGTTGCCACCGAAAGAGGAATGGGGGATCAGTGGGGGGAGGAGGGACACATCTAGTCACCACCAACCAAACCACCTCAACCCAACCCGAAGACCCCCAATCTGCTCTCCATTCCCAGTGGGTGGGGGGGGGTCGTCGGGGAACATTGACAAGAACACATGTGGGACCCCCTGTACCTCCCCCAACCCGAATTTTGGGTCTTCGGGTTGGGTTGGGCTGGTCTGGTAGGTGGCCAACTAGCACCGATGGTCGAGAGCAGCGCCAGTTTCCGGAGGGTGCCCGCATGCTCGTCGTGGTTTGGGGGGGCGTCGGGGAACATTGACAAGCACACATCTGGGACCCGTACCTCCCCCAACCCGAATTTTGGGTCTTCGGGTTGGGTTGGGCAGGTCTGGCAGATAGCCAACCAGCACAGGGCTGAGAGCAACGCCAGCTTCGGAGGGTGCCAGCATGCTCGTCGTGTTTTGGGGGGGGGCGTCGGGGAACATTGACAAGCACACATCTGGGACCCGTACCTCCCCCAACCCGAATTTGGGGTCTTCGGGTTCGGTTGGGCTGGTCTGGCAGGTAGCCAACCAGCACCGAGGGCATTCGAGCAATGCCGGCTTCGGAGGGGTGCCCGCACGCTCGTCGTGCTTTTTTTTTGGTGGGGGTGGGGCTGGCCTCCGCCTTGGAGTGCTCTCCGCTTGGGGGCTCTCCGCGGGCACCCAGGCCTTCCGAGAGGGGGCTCGTGCTCTGGACCGTCCTCCTCCTCCTCCTCCTCCTCCTCTTCCTCCTCCTCCTCCTCATCATCATCATCTTCATCATCATTGTCATCATCAGCATCATCTTCATCATCATCAGCATCAGCATCATCATCATCATAATTATCGTCAACATCATCACATCATCATCACCACCACCATCATCATCATCATCATCATCATCATCATCATCATCATCATCATCATCATCCGTAGCCATTTTGGCTCAAGCACGAAACGTGCGGCCTGGCGCTTCGTGCTTGGTCGCTGCCGAGGGCCAGGCTCGAGGTTATTTTAGCCTCAGGGTGTGCGCGGTGGAGGTGCTTCTATTAGCCCTGTCAGATCCAACCTTCTGGGACGTTCTGGCTGCCGCGATGGCCGCCACTCTCTCCATGGACCAGAAGATGGATCAGCTGCTGGCATCAATGTCCACCGTCGTAGCCACCGTCAATGCCCACGACGCTAAGTTTGCCAGCCTCGCCAAAGACATGGAGAGCATGAAGACCGACATGCGCAATGAGATGGACATCAAATTCGAGCACATGCAGAACCAGATCATCGCCCTGCAGCAGCGCCACGGCAACATCACGGGCGGCGAAGCCTCTGACGAGATGGTCGACACATGCCTGACGGTTTCACTACTTAGCGCTCAGACCGACCAGAAGATCAGCGTCATCAATGCCGCACTCGAGGAGCTGAAGACCTCTGTCGCTACGATTTCACGACCACCTTCGACGGCGTCTGGCATCGCCAGCACATGGGGGACCGTGGCCACGCCCCGTGGAGCTAGCGCCGCGCCTGCTGACAGGCGTAAGCTCTGGGTGCGAGGGTTCCCTGTCAAGCTGATGGCTTCTGCATTCGACAAGCACTTCGAGTTCCTGAAGACACTTCTCTCGCCCACCTACCGCGACAAGCGCAGCGCGATCACCAAGAGCTGCAAGTACGCTTACGTCATCATCTTCGAAGACGCCGACGACGCCAAGAATGCCCTGTTGCAGCTGCGTGCCATGACGCTAGAATGGGGAGATGGCAGTGGCTTTCGGCATCGGCTTCGGGTCGGCACCGACGAACCCATCGACATCCGCAAGAAAGGTTGGGTGCTGGGCCAGGTCTGGCAACACATCAAGCAGGTCATGACCGACGCTGGCACATGGCGTCCTGACTCGCAGCTCCGATGCAACAAGTACATGGGCCTCTGCTTCTTGGTCAACGGCGACCTCGTTGACGAGCTCGTCGTGTTGCAGAATGTCCTCGAGACCGACAACCCGAACGTCGAGCCCAACCGCGGCAACTTGAAGCGCTACGGCTTCACCGACGAGCAAGTAGACAAGCTGCCCGAGCTGGTCACTGCTGCGCTTCGCCGCGAATAGGGGCGGAGTGAGCCAGTATCTGGGAGCGATAGTGACGATGAATTCGATCCTGAACGTTTGCGAGCCCTGCTGCGAGAACGGGGGGAGGCCACCTCGACACCGCCTGACTCTCTTCCTCCTGAGAATGCTCCAGCTATTCATGATCCCTACCTTCCTGATCCACACTCTCCTGGGGGAGGTGAAGCTGCTCTTGCTGAGCAGCGGCATCCATTTGTTATTTCTCGTGCTATGGGTCTTGCTTCTTGGAATACTCGTGCATTTTTTGGCAGTGTTTACGGCGATCCACAGAGACAGCATCGGAAACAGCAGATTTTCAGAAGTCTTGTACAACGCTTTCAAGTAGTATTTTTGCAGGAAACCCACGGGACCGAAGAAGATCTTTCCTCGCTGGACCATGACGTGCCAGCACACACGCACCTTGGCTCTTTTTGCTCTTCTGCGGCTGCGGGAGGCGTTACCATGTCTATTGATCCTTCCTTGCTCCAGCTCTTTCAGGACATCCACGTAGTTAACATTATCGATGGACGATGCATAGCAGTTACACTGACAGGCGAGAAAGGCACGCTGCAATTGATTAACTTTCACCTCGACCCTACCCTCTCCGACGTTGAGAAGGATCGTGTGATCCGCGCGGTTGCTGCTCACGCTCTGCCTGCTGATCAGGCCACAGTCATCTTGGGAGGCGATTTTAACTTCTTGGAGGAGGGGGAGATGAGGACGTTCACAGACGGAAGGGAACCCACCCCTGAGAGGACCGCTATTCTACACATGTTTTCTCGGGCTTTCGGACACTTTGCTGAAGTTGCCCAACAGGAGCCCACTCATCGGACTGGGAGGAGGGAGGACGGTGCTCTCAGCCTTGGTCGCCTGGATAGGTTCTACATCTCTTCTGCCACCACCGACATTCTTGATGCGACACCAAGAAGCGGTGTCATAGGTCTTGCTCACGATGTCGCCCAGCCGAGCGACCATATTCCTGTTTGGCTTCAGTTTTCGCCTGGCGGCAGAACTACCCCGACGATCCCCTCCTGGATTGCCAAACATCCTGATTTTGGTTCTGAGGTTGATGCTGCCATAAGTTCGGTTGAAATGCCCAGGGACCCGTTCGAGTACCTCCTGTCCGTCAAAGACGCGATGTATGTTGCCAAGGATGCTCTGATGACTCGCATGTTCTTCCGAGGCCCCAACAATGATGCGCAGAAGTTGTCGGTTTACCTTAAGTTTCTACGGGCTGTTCGGGATGGCAAGTCTTGGGACGTTCGGAGGTGTATCCAGGCTATTCCTCATCTTAGTCTACATGTTCATGCTGATGAATGTTGTTTTAGAGATTCTGTGTCTTTTTATCGGGAAATGGCCGAGCTCCAGCATTCTCTGCTTCAGCGAGAAATTCGCGAACACGTCGAAGGTGGCGGAGCCCCCGACGACGATCGAGGCCTCAGGTTGCACCAGCTTCTGCGACAGTGGTCTCCCAAAAGGCGCCGAATCGTTCTGGTTTCGGTCCCCGACCCCACCGGGAACCCCTCGCCTGATCTCGAAGTCAGTGCTCAGAACCTTGCGTCCCACTGGGGGCGGGTCCATGCCGCGAAGCCTCAGGACAGGGGATACCACTTCCAGAAGACACTGTTGAGCAGTGAGATTCAGCAGGTTGCCCCAGGTATCGAGTGGACGCTCGACCTGCATAGCTTCATAGGTAAGCTCGTCAGCCGCAAGGACAGCGCGACTGGCCCTGACGGAATTCCCTACAGTGCCTGGCGGTTCGCTGGAGACGCTGCTCACAATGCCTTGTATCAAGTTTATCTCGCTATATTGGACAATCCTACATATGGGCCCCCGCATAAAGGCTTCAACGAGTCTCTCACGGTATACCTCCCTAAGGCCATCTGCCCTCACGAAGCTGGAACCTCTGAGATCTCTCGGGAAGCGTCTGTGGTGCGCCCTATTGCTCTCAGCAACACTGATAACAAAATAGTATCATTGGCCATATGCGAACCATTTAGCCAACAATGCCAGTACAGCGTCTTAGGCTCCCAGACGGGTTTCGTGCGCAAGAGGTCTATGCTCGACAACTTGCTCTGCCTTGAGGCAGACATTCTTGAATGCGCCTGCTATCGCGGCATGCCGCACGCTGGGCTACTCCTCTTGGATTTCCGCGCCGCGTTCCCGTCGCTGCGCCACGACTGGATCATAGATGTGCTAATCATGATGAACATACCCATGTATATCGTGAATGCCATTCGGTTCCTATACACCGGTATTTACACACACATATGCCTAGCAGGAAAGAAGTTTCCAGGCTACTCGATCACCCAAGGCATTAAACAAGGATGTCCGCTGTCGGGTGCTTTATTTGCGTTATGCATCGACCCGCTGCTGCGCCGATTATCTAACTTGCTAGCTCCTGTTTGTGCTACCCCTCGTGCCTTTGCAGATGACATCCAGATCTCGGCATCCAACCTGTTGCTCGCTGTTCCGATTGTGCTGAAGAATGTTATTAGGTCCAGCCGTTGCACTGGCCTGCTCTTGAACCTTGCCAAGTGTATGATCGTGCACGTGCAAGAGATGCCAGACGACCAGCATTTCGCCCTGTTCGAGTCCGTTCGCACCAACGTTCGCTCGCTTATGCACGGCACTAGTGGCAAAGTCTTGGGTGTCTTTCTGGGCCCTGGAGGTTACAAGAAATCCTGGTCCGCTCCGCTTCAGAAATATATTAATCGTGTCCGTCATGTTCGGTCGCTTCGTCTTGGGCTTACTCAAAGTATCTATGCATATAACTCCTTGGCCTTCTCGGTTCTCACCTTCGTGATGCAGCTATGTTACATATCGCAGGACGCTCTTCGCATGGAAACCAAAGGTTTGCAGACTCTCACCGCATGCCCCTTCTACAGCATCCCTACTGATCTTCTCCGCAATCTCTCGTCTGCGTTGCATTGGCCCATTGCCCCGCGCAACCTAGTGCTGGAGAATCAGGCTGCCATGTATCGGGTCGCTGTTCGGTCTAAGGTTTTTGATAGCATTCGGAAGCGCTTTCATGAGCTTGAGGAAGAGGACTTGGATGTTCTGATGGTCAAGCGATACCCGGCATGGCGTGCCGAGTCCATTGTTTTCCACCTGATTCACAATTACGAGCGACTAACTGCCCTGCCGTGGAACCACTTCGATGAGGACACTCACGAGTTGCAGAGACAGATTTTGAAGAAATTGCTTTCTGAGGCCCCTTGTAGCTCCGCGAGTTTTCTCCTGGGCAATCGAATTCGGTTCGCTTTTCCTTTTGCTGATGCCTCTAGTATCGACCTTGCGGTGCTCAGGCTCCAAATTGCCTGCACGCGCGTCGGCCCATTTGTGGCTGCGGCCATTCTCAAAACCATCTGCAACGCGTGGGCGACCTCTGCCAGGTATAGGCAAGGCCGTCTTACCTGCCGTTTCGGTTGCCTGGCCACAGGCGGCGACCACGTCCAGCATTACTTCGATTGCCCTCATGTCCTGAGCTTGCTCCATTCTGTTTTGCCCTTCCTGCCAGTCGAATATTTGAATCAGAGCCTCGATGCGCGTATGCTGTGCACTATGCCATGCCAGTCTAGTCAGCAGCTGTTCTCTTTGTTTCTTGTCCACGACCTGCTTTTTTCTACCTTTAACTCCTTGAGGAGCTCGCACAGGTACGGGCCCGAATGCCTGCTGCCTCTCCTGCGCGCGCGTGCCCGCCACATTGCCAAGAAGGGGCGCGGCGTGCGGAGCCTGCTCATCAGGAGGCCCGCGGCAGAGGGCAGCTGAACTGCCCCCCTCTCTGGCGCGCTCAGGGGAGTGCGATCATCATCATCATCATCATCATCATCATCATCATCATCAGCATCATCATCTTCATCTTCATCTTCCTTCTCCCGCGTTCCTTTGGCATTGGGTCGGCTGTGCCGATGCCACTCCCGTCCCTCGTGCGGCCACCACTGGACGCGCCCCGACTCCGAACGCTCCCCAGGAGACGTACAGGTAGCAGCGGCATTTTGATTTCCTGTGCCCCTCCCGAGGAGGTGGAGAAGAGAGAGAGGCGGGTGATGAGGTCGAAGGAACCCAACAACACACACACACACACACACACAAACATAAGCTTTAGGATGTCCGCACGGACGTCCCACACACACAAAGACAGGAGAGGAGATGGAGGAGGATGGGGGGGAGGTGGGGAATAAGGAGGGCGGGGAGGAGAAGAGTTAGAAGCAGGAGGGTGAGGAGGGGAGTCGGCCGGAAGCAGTGTAAGGCGAAATAAAAGAGGGGTTGGAGAAAGGTACACTTTCCCATCACCTTTTGGAGCCTTGGAGCCGGGGTAGCAGTTCCAGGCCCGTTTCAGGGCACTTTCTTGCACCCTGGTTCCCCCCGTGTATTTCCCCCCCCCCCCCCCCCCTCCGCTACGCTAGCGTCCACACGAGTGAGGTGGCGGATGAGTGTGAGGAGCAGCGTAATCAAAGCTGAGGAGATGGAGGAGGAGGATGGGGAGGAGGGTGCGGAGGAGAAGGGTGGCGAGGAGAGGGATGGGCGAAGGGTGGAAGAGGGTGAGCCGGACGGTGACGCATGCGGAGGACGGAGGAGGAGGAGGAGGAGGAGGAGGAGGAGGAGGAGGAGGAGGAAGAGGAGACGCAGGAGAAGAAAGGAGACGCAGGAGGAGGAGGAGGAGGAGCAGGAGGATGAGGAGGAGTAGGACCAGGAGGAGGAGGCGAACGTGGAGGAGGACGACGTGGAGGAGGAAGGAGGACGTGGAGGAGGAGGAGGAGGAGGAGGAGGAGACGGAGGAGTAGATGAAGGGTCAGATAGAGGAGAAGACAGAGCGAAGTTGCAGTTTGTCTTGCTCCTGAGGCCCTGGGATGCTGCCGGCTCAGCTGCAGCAGCAGCACGCCCAGTACGCGCAGCTCTACGCGCAGCAGCAGCAGCACTACGCCTACTGGTACCAGGCGGTGGGCGGCCGCAGCCAACGTCGAGGAGGAGGAGGAGCAGCAGGAGGAAGAACAGGAGGAGGAAGATGAGGAGGAGAGGAAGGAGGCGGAGGAGGAAGAGGAGCAGGGGGAGGAAGCAGGAGGAGGAGGAGGAGAAGAAGAGGAGGTTTGAGGAGAAAGGAGGAGGAGGTGCAGGATGATGATGATGATGATGATGATGATGATGATGATGATGATGATGATGATGATGATGATGATGATGATGATGATGATGATGATGATGATGATGATGACGACGACTGTGATGGTGATGACGAAAACGATGACGATGATGAGGTTGATGATGATGATGCTGATGCTGATACTGAAGATGATTGTAGTGGTGGTGATGATGATGGTGATGATGACGACGGCGACGATGATGATGATGCTAATGATGATGATCCTGGCGGTGGTGATGATGACGAGGAGGAGGAAGAGGAGGAGGAGGAGAAGGAGGATAATGAATAGGTAAGATGACTGACAAGTGAGGAGTAGGAGGAGGTGTAGTAGTAGTAGTAGTAGTAGTAGTAGTAGTAGTAGTAGTAGTAGTAGTAGTAGTAGTAGTAGTAGTAGTAGTAGTAGTAGTAGTGGTAGTAGTAGTAGTAGTAGTAGTAGTAGTAAGTAGTAGTAGTAGTAGCAGTAGTAGTAGTAGTAGTAGTAGTAGTAGTAGTAGTAGTAGTAGTAGTAGTAGTAGTAGTAGTAGTAGTAGTAGTAGTAGTAGTAGTAGTAGTAGTAGTAGTAGTAGTAGTAGTAGTAGTAGGAGTAGGAGTAGGAGTAGTAGGAGTAGGAGTAGTAGGAGTAGGAGGGAGTAGGAGTAGGAGTAGGAGTAGGAGTCAAGCTAGCCAGCTCGAGCGAGTCAAGCATGGCATGCCCAGTCCCACCCGCCCTCCCACAACATAAGAAGCAAAGCTGGCACAACTGGGGGCCGAAGTCACACCGGCCAGCCGGTTTGGTACAGCTGATGCGGCCGCGATGGCGGTTGCCGACGGGAACTGGCGAGCGCGTGTTGAATGCCGCGCACGCATTGCCAGACGAGTCGAGAATGGCCCGGTACACCGCAGGAAGCCAGAGGTGGCCGGAGGAAGCCCGACGGTCTGACAGGACACCCCAAAGCATTTTTGTGAAAAAGCATTGGGTTTTTGATGTTTTTATGTTGAAATGCTTGCAAACACACGGTGTTCGGTAGGATTCTGACATGAACGCGCGAGTGTGCTCTTTGTGGCATTTTTTGCACAGGATTCGCGGCCTGGGTCCATGACAGAGCATCGCGAGTGCACCGCGCGATGACGTGAAATCGCTGGATTTGACCGAATTCTCAAGATTCCTATGGTTTTCCTATGATTTCAGCAAGAGAGCCCGGGCGGGAAATTTGCATAATTTTTGTGAACAAGCATTGGGTTTTTGATGTTTTTATGTTGAAATGCTTGCAAACACACGGTGTTCGGTTGGATTCTGACATGAACGCGCGCGTGTGCTCTTTGTGGTGTTTTTTGCAATGGATTATCGCCGTGGACGACAGGACGTCCATGTCGAGACGAAAAAATAAGAAAAATGTTGATTTTGTATTGTTTTTTTACAGGTTAGGATGGGACCCCCCGGATGCGGCCCCTAATGGCCGACCTGAGGGGGGAGTAGGACTATATTCTAATAAGGAATAAGGATAGGAGTAGGAGTAGGGGTAGGAGCAACATTAGCAGTCGCCGTAGAAATATTAGAAGGAGTAGTTTCTAGTAGCAGTAGTAGTAGTAGTTACTACTACTACTTCTACTATTGGTGGTCGTAGTCGAACTCGTTGTAGTAGTCGCAGCAGTAGTAGTAGTAGTAGTAGTAGTAGTAGTAGTAGTAGTAGTAGTAGTAGTAGTAGTAGTAGTAGTAGTAGTAGTAGTAGTAGTAGTAGTAGTAGTAGTAGTAGTAGTAGTAGTAGTAGTAGTAGTAGTAGTAGTAGTAGTAGTAGTAGTAGTAGTAGCAGCAGTAGTAGTAGTAGTAGTAGTAGTAGTAGTAGTATGTAGTATGTAGTATGTAGTATGTAGTATGTAGTATGTAGTATGTAAACTGTAGTATGGAGTATATAGTATGTATGTAGTATGTAGTATGTAGTATGTAGTATGTAGTAGTATAGTATGTAGTAGTAGTAGTAGTAGTAGTAGTAGTAGTAGTAGTAGTAGTAGTAGTAGTAGTAGTAGTAGTAGTAGTAGTAGTAGTAGTAGTAGTAGTAGTAGTAGTAGTAGTAGTAGTAGTAGTAGTAGTAGAGTAGTAGTAGTAGTAGTAGTAGTAGTAGTAGTAGTAGTAGTAGTAGTAGTAGTAGTAGTAGGGAATAGGTCCCCGCCTGATTCCTCGCGATTAACTCACAGAGGAGGCTCCCGCCTGAGACTTCCTCAAGAAACAGGCCCGAGGTGCCCAGAAGTATCGACGGTTGCGTACAGGATTTGGATAACCCGCTCGGATTAGAACATGAAGTGCGGGACCCATAGGGAGTGGGCTCCCGCCTGAGACTTCCTCGCGATTCACTCACACACCAGGCCCCCGCCTGAAACTTCCTTTCTGTTCAGGCCTGAGCAGCCCAAACGCGATGACAGTTTCAGGATTTGGATGACCCGCTCGGATCAGAGCATGCAGTGCGGGCCCCATGGGGAGGGGTATCCCGCCTGCGACTTTCACGCGGTTCAGTCACAGACGATGCTCGCGTTTTGTTGATGATCATGATGGGATGGTGATGGTGATACATGTGTGATGATGGTGATGGCGATGGTGAGTACAGATGAATGACGATGGGCTGAAGATGATGATGGCGAGTGATTGTGATGATGGCGATGGTGTTGGATGGTGACGATGGTGATGGTGGTGCTGATGACGATATGATGAAATTGATGGTAAAGTATGAATATAATGGGGATGTGAATGATGTTGGGTGGTGACGATGCTGATGATGATGGTGATGAGGATGATGTGTGTCTGGTGACGGCTGTGGTAATGGTTATGATGGAGATGAGTGCGCAAGCGAATGTGAGTGATGATGAGGATGGTACTGATGGTGATGACAAGGAAAACGTTATGGATGATGACGCGGTTCATGACGATTGCGCGATCAAGAAGGATGACGTGATGATGAAGTGGGTGATGACTGAATGCGATTGCGTGGCCGAGAGTGAGTGTGAGTGGTTGATGAGGATCATTGCCGATGACCTTCTTTGGAGCGTGGCCTGACAACGAATGAGTGGGCGATGCGTGAATGAACGACATACTGAGCGGGTGATCGTGATGATCGGTGATCACGATGGGATGGTAATGACAGGAGGACGAAGTGAGGTGCGACGTGAAGTTCCTGCGCTGAGGTGTGCAGAAGAAACAAGAACCGCACTTAAGAAGTGGGGGCACAACGAAAACGGAACGCCCTGTTCAGCTCGAGCCCAGCCCGAGGGGACGAGCCGAAGAAACGCAAACATGAATGAAGGAAAACGCGCAACTGGATGACCCTGTAATTGAAAAGGGGGGGGTGCTCGCAAAACCCCCCCCCCACCCCTCCCCACCTTCAAAGGGGAGGTGAGATATTCGAACCCTTCCGCCCTCCCTCCCTCCCTTAAAGGGAGGGGTGTCCGAACCCCCCCCCTCCCCCCTCTCCTTGAAGGGATGGGGGGCTCCGGACCCTCCCCCCCCCACCCCTTCGCGCTGGAAAGGGGGGGGGGCGTCGACCCCCCCCCCCTCCCCCCTTTGGGGGGCGGGGCTTCTGCCGCTTTTCCTTTCTGCGCCGGAGAAGGTGGGTAGGGAGTGCGGAGTAGGGAGTAGTGTGTAGTGCGTCGTAGTGAGTAGTGAGTAGTGCGTAGTGAGTAGTGAGTAGTGAATAGTGAGTAGTGGGTAGTGGGTAGTGAGCAGAAAGTAAGGCATCGGTAGTAGGGAGTGGGGAGTAGTGGGTCGTGAATAGTGAGTGCTGAGTATCGAATTGCAACCTAGGGAATAGTGAGTGGAGAGTACTGATTAGTGAGTAGTGAGTAGCGCGTAGTCAGTAGAGAGTGGCTAGTAGTGAGTAGTTAGTAGTGAGTACTGCTTAGGGAGAAGGGAGAAGGGAGTAGTGAGTAGTGGGTGGTGGGTAGTGAGTTGTGGGAGGTGAGTAATGAGTAGTGAGTAGTGAGTAGTGGGTGCTGTATAGTGAATAGTGAGTTGGTAGTAGTCAGTCGTGGGTAGTGATAGTGCGTAGTGACTAGAGAGTAGTTAGTAGTGAGTAGCGAATAGTGAGTAGTGAGTAGTGAGTAGTGAGTAATAGTCAGTAGTGAGTAGTGAGTAGGGAGTGGTGAGTAGCGAATGGGAATTAGCGAGTAGTGAGTACGGAGTAGTGAGCAGGGAGTAGGGAGTAGTGAGATGTGACTAGTGAGAAGGGATGAGTGGGCAGCTTGTAGTGGGTAGCGAGTAGCAAGTAGCGAGTATATAGTAGTGAGTCGTGAGTGGTGAGTCGTGATTAGTGGGTAGAGAGTAGAGAGTAGTGAGTAATGAGTCGTGACTAGCGACTTGCGACTAGCGAGTAGGGAGTAGGGAGTAGCGTGAAGTGAGTAGTGCGTAGTGAGTAGTGAGCAGTGGGTAGCGAATAGTGCGTACTGGGTAGCGACTAGGGTGCAGGAAGTAGCGAGTAGTGAGTACAAAGTAGTGAGTAGTGAGTACTGTGTAGGGAGTAGCGAGTATCGAATAGTGGATGGTGAGTAGTGAGTTGTGGGCTGTGAGTAGTGAGTAGTGAAGTGTGAGTAGTGAGTGGTGATTCGTTGATAGTGGTCAGTGGGTAGTGATTAGTGAGTAGTGCGTAGTCGGTAGTGAGCTGTGTTTAGTGAGTAGTGAGTAGTGAGTAGTTAGCCGTGAGTATTGAGTAGTGAGCAGGGCCTAGGGAGTAGTGAGTAGTGGGTAGTGGGTAGTAGTGAGTAGTGATATTCATAAGTGAGTAGTGAGTAGCGAGTACTGAGTAGTTGGTAGTGAATATTGCGTGGTGGGTAGTG